TCAGTTACCTTTTTAATGCATAATGTCCGAATTTTACGAGATTGGCCGACAACCTATAATAATATAAATACGTATAATTAAATATGCACATTTTTTGATACCATAAACGCCTCCTTCAAACAATCGCTTAACTGTTACGTACAACAAAATGAAAAAAAAAAGACCACCAAAGCAGCATTGTGCATTTTTTGATATCCATTTACAGTTTCCATTTAAACTTCTAAGTTTAATTTTAGTAAGAATCAACAATTTATAATTACATTATAACATATTTTTAAATATTACTTTTCTTATTCATTGTGCTAGTTATACAACCGGTATCTTACGAGATTACCCGATATTTGGTTGAAAATATCAACGAGCACAGATTAACGAGTTGATAAGGTTGGAGAGTTTGAATGTACAAAAAAAACGAAGAGAAAACTGAAAAATAAGAAAGTGTTTTAAATCTGCCTTGGAGATGAATGAATTGATCATTTTTCCTAATAATATCTAGTCCTAACCGTAATGTAAAATTCGACAGATCAGATGTTTGTAAAACACCTAAATAAATATTTTTAATTAAATATATTATTCCGTAGAATTTTGCACTACGTACTAATCTTAATTTCTAAATTATGACAAGAATGGAAATATATTTTTTTTTCTTTCCTTTTTTTTATTACTATAAAGAATATTTAAAATAGAATTTAGCGTTTTTTTTAAACTTTTGGGTAACAAATATCAATATATACCGTTTAGAGCAGATTACAAATGTTTTTTTTAAAATTCATTATGAATAAAAAAACATATTTATTCAGCAAAAAATCGCATAATTGTTTTAATTGATGTATTTAATTTGTTAAATTGATGAGTCTTCCATCGTTAGAAAATACATCCACATCCACAATACCAACAGAATTAACAGTCTCGCCATATTTTCGTCAGAGTCGAGAATTTATGGGCGATACAAATGAAAGAATGGTTGTAGAAAATGCTGGCCATAATTCTACTCCTGTTCCAACTGCTAACATTGTAACTATTAGTCCTGTTGTTGGTAATAAAGAAGTGGAAAAAAACCCCACCAGTTCAATAAGTAGGCTTCATAAAGTTGGATCGAGTTTTAAAAATTTTGT